CTGCTCTGAGCATGTCAGTTGGAGTTATGACATCATCGTGTTCCATGACACAGGTGTTTATATTTGAGCTAACGACGTGTCCAGAGATCAAAGGTTTCCATGGTGCAGTAATCAGTGAGAGGAGAGCATTTGCATTGTTCTGAATGAGAGATAAACCTCTTACATGTGAACGTTTTGTTGAAGAACCGTAACAGATATCGGTGAAATTTCAAAGCGTGAAGCATGTCAAGGAACTTGAGTATCTGAAGTGTACTTTTTGTGTACTTTCGGGTCAATAATGTGGCCTTTTTGGCAGATTAACTAAAGGTGTGCGGCTGCTGTGGTGGGGGAAAGATGAGGCTGAACTTACAATGGGCTTTAATGTTGAACGTTTTTGTCACTTCATGCCCTCAAGAGGCATTTTGTTTAATTATTTTGCTTAATCTTTTTTAATTTTTCAAGCTACGAGATGTTTTCCTACGTTTCTCATGAAAAATTATGTCTCAGGAATGTAGGGTTTGGGAATTATGGCAGGCAAAATTAAATCTGTCCTCCACTCTAGCTGTGACATCACACACTCTAAAATATGAAGAAGGCCTCTTAACCGAGGTCTGAACAATGTTTAATATCTCTAAAAGTACGAATCAGATTTAAAAGTTGTGTTACACGAATAATGTCAGAAAGATGTGTCACATTTTAAAGTTGGAATGAGGTTTCTGAGTGAAAGTATGAAGGAACAGTTAGCAGTTGAAGTTGCATGAAGATTGTTCAAGTCTGAAGAGTTTCTCCATTGACTTCCATGTTCAAAATGTGATGAATGATGGGATGTATCTCTGGAATTATGAAAGTTATGAATAAGAAAAGTAATAGCCATCGATTCCCGACCGAGCTGAACGTTTTGATGTTTGAACGGAGTTTCTGCGATGTGGAATGTGGGAGAAGAAGAGGTGCAAAATAACCCGGCGGAATAATAAAGAATTTTGTGCGTAGCATAACAAGTAGTTGGAATGCTGTGTCAACATTCCCACTAAATTATTTTGGTCACTCAAAGGTTTTCTTTCCGGTTCGGTCTATTCTCAATTATATTTCTCGTAAAAAAAGATAATTGAAATAAACTCTGCTCCCCACCTTCCAGCTTCTCTGCAGAGTTTGACTTCCGCACCTACGACCCAGAGGGGGTGATCTTCTTTGCCGGGGGTCACCTAAACAGCTCCTGGATCGTGCTTGCAATGCACCATGGGAGGCTGGAGCTGCAGCTGAAGTATGGCACAGTCAGCAGGGTCACCAGCAGCGGGCCCATCGTCAGTGACGGCCAATGGAGAAAGGTTAGACTCTTCATGAACAGTGATATGCTTCTGCTTTAGCTTCATTAGCTGAACGCTTCTTTAAATGTCTTCTTGTTTTCTCTCCAGATCTCGGTGGAGGAGCAGGTGCGCAGTCTGGTGATTAAGATCGACAGGGAGGCCGTCATGAAGATTGCAGTAAACGGTGATCTGTTTACGCTAAAGAAAGGCATGCATGAACTCAACCTCACCGTGGGAGGAGTCCCGTTCAGAGAGGACGGCCTCGTCAATCAGGTGTTTATCTCGATGTGCTTGTGTTTTTTAACTTCCGCAGAAGGAGTTAGGCAATCTGCTCGGTTTGTCTGTCAGCATGATGATGGAAAAACAACTAGCCCAGTTTTCATTAGACTTAATGAAAGAGTGAAGCCAAGAAAGAATCTTTATTTGAAGAAAATCCAAGTTTGAAACATCCATTAGGCCTGACATTGAGATTGAGTTTTGACTGATGTAGTGTTATATACTGACAGATTGTTTTGACTACGTAGGTAAACCCCCGCCTGGACGGCTGTATGAAGGACTGGAAGTGGTTGACGGGTGAAGATACTTCCATACAAGAAACGGTTCGGTCCAACGACAACATGCAGTGTTTCAGCAGCGAGGTTCCTGGAGCGTATTACCCCGGCACCGGCTTCGCTCTCTTCAACATCAGCTATGGTGCAGTGTGTGGATGTGTGGGAGTGTGATGCAGATTTGAGCCTAATGGCAGTTAGTTAATGTTTAATTTGAATTGGGGAGTGTTCGTTGGCTACCGTCATTGTCCTTGAACTGCTGTTCTCCTACTTCCTGTTATCTTCACAACAGAATCCCAGAACCTGAGCGTACAGTTGACCCTGCGTCCGACCTCTGCGATCGGAGTCCTGTTTGCACTCGTTCACCAGGACAGAGTCCCTCTCTCCATCGTGCTGGCCGACTACCACCCCGGCACCGATGAATGGAGAGATGTAAGTGTTTAAAATCTCAACTTGTGTATGTTTGTTGTCTGTGTGTGAGCTATTTACTGACCTGTTGTGTGTTTTCAGTATATGCTGGTGTCACTAGGTGATGTCATCATTGCCAGCTCTCCGGCCCCCCTGTGTGACGGGGACAGTCATGACATCCAGGTGACGCTCTCAGGAAACCAAACCCTGCTGCTGGTCGATGGCAAGGCTGGACGCAGTGAAGACGCTGACATTCCTTTTGACATCCTTTCACAGTCCAGCATCTTTATAGGAGGCCTTCCTGGTGAGGACACGTTCTTCTATAAACACATTTATCAGATTAATGCAGTATGTGGGGATTTATTTCCACAGTATAAAGGAAAAGTATTGTGCAGATGCTACACACTTAAAGTGGAGGGTTCAAAATTGGCAGAGTGAAATATAAAAATAATAGTCGGGCATTTTCTCTTTTTTTTCTGTATGTGAGAATATGGTCTTATAACAAGCACATGCATATGGACATTAGTGTTGGCATGCATTTTACGTCAGTAAATTCTGGTCTAGAACATGTGGCAAGATATTGTTGATATGTTGCACATTTAGATTTCTTAATTGCATAGCCACACAAGCCTTGTTTTATCCAGTTTCCTTGAGCAGATCAATTGAATGATGTAAAGATTAAAAAGTCTTTCACACCGTCTTGTTCAGTTAATAAAAAAACACATAAATCATGACTGGGTGATTATGCATAATTATGGAAATGTATGCGATTTATAAATGGCTCACTTTCTTTTTTTGCACCGTATATGCAAAAAGAGTCGACAGAAAAAGAATCCCCTATGGATCCAAATACTTATATAATTGATAAAAGCGCTACGTGTTGGGGTTGTTGACTCTGATTCAACACACTGACTAATGCTGTTTGCACTCTGGAAAGTAAGATCTCCTACACAGTGCATGTTGTTTTCTGCTGGATGACATGTTGTTGTTGTTGTTTCTCCCTCAGATGTCCCTCTGGTGTCCACGCTGGTGTCGGCGCCCTACAGCGGCTGCATGGAGGTCAGTGTTAACGGACACCCTCTGGACTTGGACCAGGCCCTCCACAAACACAACGACATCCGCTCACACTCCTGCCCCCTGCTGGACTCTCGCCAGTGACCACAGCAACTGATGCATTAGCAGTTCATTGAGGCTATGGGGATTATTTCCAATATATTTATAAAAGCTTTGACCAGTGATGATTTAGATTGGAACACACATAAAAGCTTTGCCAGGTTTCGGGGTTCAGCTAAAGCCTTAGCCCAGGATCACCCTGTCCTGTTACTGTGACGACACTGCTGCCTTCAGGCATCAGTGGGGATTCACAGTATTCTCTAATGACTCCATAAGGAGTTAATAAGCCAATCAGCTATGTCCCCTGTACAATTTCTTGGAATAAATGCTGCACAACATTGCCTCAAATACTGCCCATGCATCACAGCATTGTGAGCCCATTAGAACACACAGGGCCTTATCTAGAGCTATGTCCAATGATTGGTCTGGGGTCAGCACACTACGCCTGGGTCCTGTGCTCAATCAGATATGACGGGACCTCTGTAGACACAGTGACTCCGCTGACAGAGCTGCGGTCGTGTTGCTTTCTTCCATTCTACACAACGACCACGCTCATGTAGAATCTGATGAAATGAAAAAAATGGGGACCAGATCATAAGAGTTTTATCGGCTTCCCTTATTCAAAGGAAATCATTGAACATTGCTCAGATCTCCATGAGTGTTTGGTTCATCATTATTTGAGGGGTTGATCAGGGACTTAATCAATCTTATTTGTTCCTAAGAAGATCAGCCCCCTTTGTGTAGAAAACTTTGCACATTGTTGCAGGTAGCAATGGACTGCGCGTGAAGCCGTTTCCCCCCCCCCCCCACTAAAGCAACACTCCATGTCTGCCTGCAACCTTAAAAATCAACCGTGTGCCTACAAAGAACAACCAACCCAAACTTCGCAGCAGCTTCCCTCCAAATAGGTGAATCATATCACACGGGTGCAGTACTGTAACACACACACAGAGATAATGCTTTGCATTGCAGACACACTATGCATTTCCACCAGTGCATTCTGCAGTACTTCAGTCTTTTAAAGATTTGACTGACACCCTGATTCTCAATAATCCTCAATCACATGATGATAGATTAGTCTCAGAAGCACAGACCGGAAGGTGCCCTCTCCATCCAGAGAGTGAGCACTGCATCGAACGCACCGCAAAGCTACTGAGGGTAAGAAGAGTGCGCTGTAATATACTGAGTATGTAAATAATGTGACTGTACAATGCTTTATAGAAGACAGAAAAACACTACCTTCTGCTCACTGAGGTTTCCTGCACATTTAAGTTGATCCAGTAATCTGAGTCTCTCCACTTCTCTTCACTTCATCTGCTTCCTAAAAACATTTGGATAACAAAGACACAATTCCTATCATGAAAACTGAAGGGGGAGACTCTAAAAGCGATATCCATGGATCAAAGGGTCGTACATCTTTGGGGACTCCATTTTTAATTTGATTTTACAGGTGCTGAGCAAATGAAAACACAATTAAAAGAGAGAATGTCAGGAGCATTGTGACAGAATGCCAAAAGGGCTCCAGTGTTATTTTACTTCGCTCTGTATTGTATCATTTTCTAGATTTCTGATGAATGAATGCCAGAATATAGAGCTTGATGAGTTATTGTATTTTTTATCATGTGTTGTATATTGAACTTGTCTTTAGTTTTCATTTTTCACTTTCACTAACTGCCAGTATGTGTACAATGGTGAGAGGAGTCTGCCTTTTGAGTTTTAACCTCCCTCAACAGTGAAAATGCTATTTAAACAAAAATAAAAGCAGTTGTATGAACATCATAGTAAAATTGTATTTTCAAAAAAAAAAGTGTTTTGTGGTTTTTGAAGAAAAACAGACAATTGAAACACATGTTTTATTTAATGCGAACAAAGGTTTAAACTTTTTATTTGAGGAAGAATTGTTTGATTCACATATATAGTCTCTTTAAGGTGAAGTAATACAATGAAAACACCTGGTTTTGCTATTAAAAGTTGTACTGATGATTCTAAAAATGTGACGGTTAAAATAATTTGTTTGACATTTTGGTAAATACAATTATTCACTTTCTTGCCCAGAGATTAGAATATAAATAAATGTCCTATTTAACTCTCGGAAAGCAGACGAATAATCCTATTTTCTAACACTTCCCTTATATCAGAGATTCCAATTGACTACACATTCATTATGCATCAGTGAATAAATATTTCTTAAAGGTACCTCTTTAATACATTATGTATTTATAGCAGCTACACAATCCCATCCCACAGCAGTTTAACATCATGCATCATCAATAATAAATACATTATACTGACTTTAAAAGTGCACATTACACAATTCACACAAAACATAAATAACAGCAACGTCAGTGTCAACATTTACTCTCCAGTTCAAGAAAGCCCTTTGAATGACTAATACAGTAGTTAAGTGAGACGATACACAATAAGACCTGTAGTCCAATCGACACAAGTTAGCAAGATCAGATCCAAGTGTACGACGATACGATTATTCATATGAAACAGGTTAGCATGGGAGCTCTAGGCTTAAAGAAGTGTGACATTTTGTTTTTATTTGATTTCACCAACTTCCCCAATAAAAGCACATCACCAATTTACAATAACGTTTTTGTAAAGATGAAGCTAACAAGATAAAAAATAAAATTGTTGGTGAGGTTTAAAGGTGTTGTTTGGGTGATTTTCTCCATTATATCCAGACTAACTGTTAGCCACCGTTAGCAGTTTGATTTTGAAGCTAAAGATTCATTTCACCTAGAGATACAAATGTGTACCAATCTTATTACTCTATTCAAGAAAGCAAATTAGATTATTTCCCAAACAGTTCCCTTAAAACACATGAAATATCTTAATGTCTGTATACTCACACTTCATAGCCATACCTCTGTATCTCCTCAGTGCGAACACAGAAACATGTATCAGTACAGAGTGAAGCCCACTGTTTGCTCTCCAAGGTCATCTATGAAATGTCTTGTGCTACTTTCAGTCCGACAAGGTCTAGATATATTTCCTCCAACAGGCCCCAGGTGTTGGGCTGGGGGCTCAGCAGGCGTAAGGTGGGGGTTTTTCAAAGGGGTTGTAGGCGGAGCCGTAGAGGACCGGAGCGTTGGGGGTCAGCATGTAGCCCCCTGGTTCCTGGGTGCCCCCCTGAGGCTGGGGCTGGTTGGGGGTCTGAGAGGGGGGCTGGCTCTGGTTCTCCTCAGACGGGCAGGGGGTGGAGGCATTCCCCCCCTCAGGGACCATCTGAGGAGTGGCAGGGGGCTGATAGCTGCTGTTGTGCTGTGGGAGAGGGGCACACAGGGAGTGGTAGCCTGCATCGCTACAGTGTATGTGGAAGTAGAGCCAAAGATAACCAAATTCATTTGAATGTGAGGTGTGGCTTTTATTCTTTGTGTAGTTTGACACTGAAATATAAGTAATCAATAAATCTGTGGGACTAATTTCAGACAAAATCACCATGATATAAATAAATGAAATTGTATCTGTGGATTTAAGGTGATTGTTTAAATCCACAGCTAATGTATATGTTATTATAGTTTTCTTAAAATAGTTTGCTATCTCTGTTTTTAATTTTTTACTTTTATGTATGCATCACAATACCAAATCGAATTCCTCGTACGTGTCAATCTACCTGGTAATAAACCTGTTTCTGATTCTGAATCTGATATAAAAAAGAAAAGTACTTCTGCCTTTTTTGTCAGAAATGTCATGATAGGAAAAGCAATAATAACATCAACAATGGCTCAGTTGTATTAACACGTCACAGTGAGACTGAGCCAGCATGCACAGAAAACCTTAAACTGAAGCAGCCTATTTGAATTTAATTAAAATCTTTATTATACCTTCTGTAAACAAAAAGGACCTAAAAATTGTTATTTCTGGGCCATTACCTGCATGGGGATTGGATAGTTGGGGTAAGCGGGCAGAGTCTGTCCCGATGGGCAGTAGCCTGCGTAGGTGAGCATGTGCTGCGTGGGGTTGTACAGGATGTGGGGGGGTGGTGCGGGGCTGGGAGCCATCTGAGGAGTGGGCTTCTGCTGCAGGAAACAATAAAAAGGATTTGGATGAGATGAGAAATTATCAAATGAAGCTCAAAGGAAAACGTGAGTGAGTGTGCAACAGTTACTCATGAAATGCACACATTATAAAGGAAGTAATGAACTATGCTTGCTGCTCAATGTTCTGTATGGACATCTATCCTAACACCAGGACCATTAAATACAATAAAATAAGATCAGAGATATCCATGTCTCTGAAACATCATAAACTGCATTTACTGATGAAATTGAACTGAGGGAAGCGGTGAAACTAAGAGATATCTGCACACTTGCCACATATACTCATTGTCCTAAGTGTTTGTTTTTTTAGGTTTTAAGGTTATTTGTATAGTTACGTTTAAATTTGGTGTAAATACTTGTCTTTAATCCTAAATTGTTTCTTAAAAATACTTATTTCTTTATTATCCTTATATATTTCTTTTTTTTTACCTACTTTGCAACTTACTTTTTGAGATTGTTTATGTTCACACCACCAGATACCAAAGCAAATTCCTTGTATGTGTAAATAAACTTGATTCTGATTCTGATTCTGACTTAACACGTAATATTAGTACTTAAAAAAAGAGCCTTGGTAAAGTAACAGATTCAAAAGTTAAACACAAAAGAAAATTAAGATTCCAGTATAAAAAAAATGCTTTTCTCTTGCATTTAGATGTTCTTTCTGATTATTTTCTTTGCCCTTCACTTCAAAGAGTACTATGTTTTTACTCTTTGTCTCTGCTGTAAAGAAGCTCTCTCTCTCCTCTCCTGCTCACCATGTCCTTGTACGCCCCGAGCACGGCGGCGGTGATGATGCCCAGGAACAGGCAGAAGACGTTGAGCACCACGGCGGTCCAGAGCAGGCGCTGCAGGTGGATCACGTCCCAGCAGCTGTTGACCCCCGTGAACTCGTAGTACTGGTTGTGGAACTCCGTGCTGCAAGAGGCAGAGAGCAGGACTCAGATCTTAACGTGGTAAGGATGTTGTTCTTGTTATAGATCATTAAGCAGGTGTTCTTAATATGCAGAGGGGATTGTCACAGGAGAATTTGTTTTGCCCTATGAGAATTCCTCGCAATGTCCATGGCGTGTTCCCATTTATTTTAAACTCCCAGAGACTGTAAGTGCATCCAGCATTGAAATCTAGGATGTGGTTTTAACTGCTCTCTACTGTATTATCACAATATTATTATAACATTACAGTTGGAAGAAATAGTCAAACATGTTCACTGTGGAGGACACCCTGAATAGTAAGAGTCAAGAGTCAGTTTGTACACACACACACACACACACACACACACACACACACACACACACACACACACACACACACACACACACACACACACACACACACACACACACACACACACACACACACACACACACACACACACACACACACACACACACACACACACACACACACACACACACACACACACACACACAGCAGGTGTGTCTCACCTGGCACAGTTGTACAGGTAGCAACAGTAGCATGTGTTGCTCCTCAGCTTCAGTTTACACGCTTTGTTAAAGGAACGACACGTCACCTGCAGCGTCAGAGGATTTATGAGTTAATCATTTTTTAGAAACCTTTTTATTCAATGTATGATTACAATTATTTCCAGAACTTTGAATAGCTTTTTATTTGATACGTCTCATTTCAGTGCAGTGACCTTATGAGACCACTAGATGCCACTAGACACTTGGTGAATGTTTTTGGTGGGCACCAAAAGGCTGCAGAATATAGTCGGCTTAAAATGCATTTCAAGCATCTTTTACACATTATTTTTAGAAGAAGATATAAGTAAATAATGAGGAGAACACACAGTAGGTGAGGTGAGGTTAGGTACTCAGATTGTTAATTGGGAGATAATGGTATGTTTTTAAAAACCAGACAATGGCAGGTGATGCATTTAGTGTGTGTGTACAGTGTATAAATCACCTCAGTGTAGTAGTTGTCGTAGGCGTAAGCCGCTTCGCTGGCGTAAAAGTCACACATGTCCTCCTGCAAGGGTCTTGTGTCCTGTGTGTGGAAAATACAAAAACATTAGAAGCACATATCATCAGTAGAAACACACTGTGACTTAAATGTTTTTTCTGTACTTTTTTAGAGTACATCTCCCAAGTTTAAAGGCTTCCATGATGCACATTTAGCCAGAACCCTGGTTTGTGTTACTCTGTCCGTCCTCGTGTAGTTTCTGTGTGACTGCAGCAGTGAGAGTTTACAACATGTGTCAGAGCCCTCAGCTGCACTCCCCCACAGACCCTACAGCATTACACCTCACTGGCTTTATATAATGTGAACAGTAATATAATCTTTTTTCATTGTCCAAAGCTTGAAGGTGCAATAAATATGACTTTTACTGTCCCACAAGCACAAAATAAAAATATCTGCAGTGGGTTTGATAGCACTGTTGATCAATATCAGTGACTGTGCCAGCTTTTTTAATTCTCTGGTCCACAGTCGTTAAGATGCTCAATAAAGTTCAGGGTGATGGGACAAACTGAGGGGTTCAGAGAGAAATCTAAGATGGAGCTTTTTGACCTCTGCATTTTCTGCTCATTCCCATAAAATGTCAACATTTCGAACACATTCATTTAGTCTGGGAGTTATTTAAGATCTAGTCAGTTTGAAATGGTCTCCTGACTGATGGCATTGGGGAAACAAATTATGTTGAAGTGATATATCAAATGTTCTGGAGTAATTACAACTCCCTCATATGAAAAGAAAGAACTAAATGCTGGCATTATGTAACACATTTGCAGTGGGACAAATGAGACGATGAGAATGAAAGTTGTTTTACTTAAAGTTCCCCAATTATACTGTTTTTCATCAATATATTATAGTTCCCAGTTAACACATGTATCTGAAGTGTTTGGCTCAAAATACCAATTAGATCATGCATTGTAGCATCTCATCTGTTTCCGAGCTGTTTCAAAAGTGCTGATTCTCTGTCTGTTACTTTAGATGAAAATAAGGAGCCACTCCCCACGCCCCTCTGAGAGATATTAAAAAACACACAATGGTGCTCTAGGAGGAGATTCAGGTGATAAGGTGTGGGGGGGGGGGGGGGGGTTACCTTGGTTGGTTATTGGCTAATGGTTACACAACCCAAAAGATCGTTATGACATCACAAAGTGGCCAAAATCTGATCAGCTAATTTTCAGACAGGTTTTTATATAAATGGATAAGGACAGAAAGAGAGTGAATCCTTTTTCCTGAAACTTTCAGAATCTCTTTACACAGAGGGGACACATGTTTATCTATAAAAGACATGAAAAAGTGGATTTTGCAGAATAGGTGACCTTTAATTCAGGAGTTCTGTGGGGAAATGTGGGTAACTTTTGGATACATACAATCAGCCCTGTTCTGCTGAATGTTTCCGTGGCAACTGTCTGACTAACCCTGAGGTCAGTGTGGTGTCGTGTTGGTAAGATCTCTCTGATGTGTCTGCAAACCTCCTGATCTCACTGATGTGTGTGTGTGCCGGCTTCAGCATGTGTTTCTGCAGGCTTCTCTCTGTTCTTCTTGATGTGTGGATTTGGCATGTATTTGTTGTATTTCTTTATTTTCAGTTTAGGCGGGTAAATTCCTCTATTACTTACAATGAACTCTGACGCGATGATCCCGTCCACAATGGCACAGAAGAAAGAGGCGACAACTCCGATACTGATGAATATGATCGCTGCCACCAGCTATAAGATATGAAGAGGGGAGAATCAGGAGAAGTTATTTTGGAACAAAGATGGAGAGCTCAAGTGAGTTTCATCAGAGTCAGTACAGTACATTTTGGTTGTGTTGAATATACAACAATATGGAATTGAAGGAAACATTTACCGATTTCAAAATAAAAGAATGAGCATATTGAGCAAACATTATCAATAGGTAAATATGAAAATAAGATGGGAATCAAGTTGCAAACAACAAACCTCTATCATTTATACAAATGTCTATGTACTTTACTCTTCAACAATAACCGTACATGTAGATTTCACAGAGATCAGGGGTGAAAATAGAGTGAATAATAAAAAAAGATATAAATAATCCTCAAAAGTAATTGCTGCATGTAGAACTTTTTCTTATCACAGTTTATTTTCATTTTCTTGAGTGTTCTGTCCTTATGAATTCTGATTTATTAATACATGTGCTAGAAATGTTATTTTATAAAAGTAAAGTACACACACACACACACACACACACACACACACACACACACACACACACACACACACACACACACACACACACACACACACACACACACACACACACACACACACACACACACACACACACACACACACACACACACACACTTTCCGCATGTGTGTCCTGATTGGTCGTCTGCAGCGTCTGGGCTTTAGGACGATAAAAGAAATGTACGGCTTCTTGCTCTGCCAAAGTAGAGGTGCTTTGTGGGTAATTTATGAGCACAGAGGCGACGTACAGGACAGAGAGACGGCCTTTTGTACCAGCAAGGTCAATTTAATTCTCCCAATCTGATACACACACACACACACACACACACACACACACACACACACACACACACACACACACACACACACACACACACACACACCACACACACACACACACACACACACACACACACACACACACACACACACACACACACACACACACACACACACACACATCTGTAAATTAGGCCCAACAATCTGAACAGCCTCAAATCTGTGACACACACCTGTGATTCCATGTAGCTATTACTGTAAGAAAGAGCACTTCTAATTTAGTACACACACACACACACACACACACACACACACACACACACACAGCTGGCTGATCACAGATGCCTGATCATGAACTTTATCACTGAGCATTGTCTGATGTCTGTTCAATCGCTCCTGCAGGACGAAGCCTGCTGTACTCAGGCAGGAGATTAAACACACTCTTTCTTTCATTTTGTCTGTCTAACGAGATACAGCATTTTCTCCCCAAATTGAGTTTAGTTTGTTTTATAATATACAGTATATCTAACAATCCTACAATGATATGTCTGTGGGCATTTCTTGAATTGATACCATTTAAAATCTTCAGTTATTCTGAAAGATTAAATACAAATCCTTTTCATCCAGAAGACATTTTCCAGTGGGATTAATTTGAACCATTAAACAGCTGATGATCTTCTTTAATATGAAATGATAATTTGTGAGAATCAGATGATTAACCTGAATTCTCCAACATGCTCTTAATCGTCTCAAGTGTAAAAGCTCACTGTAGAAGGCGTGGAACGGATTTGGAAAAAGGTAATATTAAAAATGAATTTCCCTGAACAAAGTGAAATAAGAGCTGGGTTGAGGAAATAAGCTTTTCTCAGGGTGGGTTTTATCTGCCTCTGGCCCAGACTCTCCACTTCATTAGCGGTTTAAATGACTCTGCTTTTATGGGCTGCAAGCGGGAGATGAGGCCAGCAGCAGAGACAATAGAGCCTGACAACTGCATTACTTCACATTACCTTAGCACCAGCTGCCAGCCCATAAAACACCTCGACACACACTCTGCCGTCCAAACCTGAATCTCCCCTGACACAACTGAGGCAGGGAGAAGAATCAGAAGCTGTGAAAGATTAACACTCACAGCCACACTGTAGATGGTTGTCTCTCTCAGGAGTCTTTAAGTGAGGAAATATTCAGAGGGAAGTGGTCATGTGAAGTACATTTACTCAAGTACTGAAACATTGGCTCAGCTGGGAGGTATTATTTGATCATTTAGTGCTACTGCTACTTTGTGATACTTAGTATTTTGCTGTTAGAATTTCTGTGATTTTAGATCAGTAGAATTTTCAATGGTACTTTTACTCGTCCTGAATCATTTTTACTTCAAAGTGTTGATAGTTTAATAACTGAAGTTCATGTAGGAGCAGCAGAAACACGTTTAACCTGATTTTAGCATCGTGCATATTTTGGATTTGCGTTCTTTATTGCAACTTCTGCAACTTCCCTCAGGATGAATACAGTGTTATTTTAACACTAATATATGAATACACATTTGAAGTGAATATTGCAACATTGTTAGCAAACAGTTGCTTTTTTACAAATTCAGAAGTAATAAAGCAACATTAGCAATTCATTCGATTTGTGTGTGTGTCCACCTGATGAACGTCAGTCCAACTATTTTTTTAACTCCGTTTTTTGGTCCTTGTAAACTCCCAATGGAAATGTCTCACTCTTTAGTTACTAAATGTTCCACTATGTTCAGTAACGGTGTCTGTCTGCTGCTTGGTGCTGAGAAGTAATAGTGCATTTCAGAACAGTTTTGTCATTTGTTTATCACCAATGCTGAAAACAAAGCTATAAGAGCTGTGAGAGTGAACCAAAACAGTAACATTAGTGTGGGAGAGACAGAGAAATAATGAGCTGAGATCTGTTAATAATCTTCTTAAGTGTTAAGATGCAGATTCAGGTGATTTAATTGAAGCGTTGTTATAAAAATGTCCAGTGTAACCACTTTAAGAACAGAAAAACAGAGGGAAATATCAATAGAAGACAAAGATGTTTTAGTTATAGAGAAGGAGATCCATCAGTGATGAAGAGGCGAGAGGAGTTTTATGGCTTCAGTTAAGATATCTATCAGGTAATGTCGCTGACCGCTGCAAGGTCTCCTTCCCTGTTCAGTGGTCCAGTGACCAATCACACCTCAGCTGGACACAACGGTAATAAGAAACTAGTTGGGTAAAATACGGCTCTTCAAAGGTTCACCGTTCTGCTCCCTGAAGGTGACCAAGAGGACGGCAGAACGCGAGCTACATGGAGCATTTAGTCATAAATTAATCTCTCAGTGTTTTAGGAGCAGCCGAAAGGAGGAGAGTTTACAGACAGGATCTCCAGCATCCTTTCATGTTGGAGGACAACACGAGACAAAATGACAAATGTCAGTGGAGCACATGTTTAACCTGCAACACACCTCACCTTCATCAAGAGGACGGGTCTTTTGGAATATTTGTGATTAGAGCACAATGTCACATTACATTAAAATCTAAAGAGACAAAGTTTCCCACTAAGCAAAGAATCCCAACTACCCTATGGTTAAATATTCATTTGTGGAACAATACAGGTGATATATGTCTTTATTTTTTATTTTCTCACTGTCTACCATATTTTATTACCCCATGACTGCATCTTTAGCTTAGTTTTGACCACAAACCACACATTTTGTCTGTTTATGCCAATTATTTCAAGGTAACTTAAACCACTAACAAGCAGATCCAGTAAAAAAGAAATGGCACAGGCGTTATTTGACGATAGTACTATTTTGTAGGTTTTTCTTTGTTTTATTATCATTTTAATATATATTTTAATTGTTGTTTAGTTTTGCTGTGCACTAGTTTATCCTTTAGACTGTATCAAAGGTGCTTAACAAATATATATTAAGCTATTGTAGTCCACTTCCACAGAAGGCAGAGATTTAAAGTTGTTCATTCTTGTAATCTCTGGCTGCAGTATTTCAAGTTGTCACTCCTCTGTGTGTTTACAGTTTAAACAACATCAAACCCTCCATCTGCCGCTTTGTGACATCAGGGGAGAGAAGGCCTGTGAGATGCAGGAAGTAAAAGAAGAGCTCTCAGATGTCGGGGCATTAATGTCAGTGTGGTTGGTTCTTCTTTAATGAGCAGCCTCGCTCTGCCAGCCGGCGCTCGTGTTTCAGCGCTGAGCCTCGGACACAGGATGGGAAGAAGACACCTGTGTGAGAGGGACATTGTGCCACATGTGCCTCATAAGAGACACCGTAGACCGGGGCTGGTGTGGCAACGATCTCACCATTAAAGTTTAAAGCACAGATCTGGGAGCTATGCCGGAGAGGCAGACAGAGACAGCTGGTAGTAAATGTCTTCCCCTCTCACATTTACAGCCACAGCTCACAATGCAACTGAACAACAGCAAGAAGGAGTGAGAGCCTGCAGAACATATTCCTAAACATAACAACATAACCTGTCATTATGATGCTTTATTTTGAACTAGACTCTGCCTCTCCACATGTGTAAACAGCTATAAGGAGTGTATCTGTTCAGGAGTAGATTCAGTACACTGTAGCGTAACGTAAGACAAGGACACCCTGCACGCCACATGAAAAATTCACAACTCACGCTGATATACCAGTCATGGTGATGGGTTTACACCTCTATCATGCCAAGACGATATTTCTCTTTCTCTGTGTTGTTATAAGCATGAAAAGTGTCTTTAAAATGGCTCAAAAATGTCTGTAAGGAAATTATTGAGAAGAAGGTTCAGATTGCTTTCATTTTGTTTTGCTTTAATACATTGAGCAGTGCCCAGAAGTGACATGCTCAATAATTTAGTGGGAATGCTGTTAACAGCATTCCAACTATCTGTTATGCTACGGACAAAAAGTTTATTATTATTCCGCCGGCTTATTTTGGCCCTCTTCTCCTCCCACATTCCACATCGCAGAAACTCCGTTCAAACATCAAAACGTTCAGGTCGGTCGGGAATCGATGGCTATTACTTTTATCATTCATAACTTTCATAATTCCAGAGATACATCCCATAATACATCACATTTTTAACCATTGAAGTCAATGGACAAATTCTTCAGACTTCAACAAATCTTCATGCGACTTCATCTGCTAACTGTTCATTCATACTTTCACTCAGAAACCTCATTCCAAGTTTAAAATGTTACACATCTTTCTGACATTATTCGTGTAACACAACTTTTAAATCTGATTCTTACTTTTAGAGATATTAAACATTATTCAGACCTTGGTAAAGAGGCTTTCTTCAGATTTTAACATTAACTAGAGTGCGTGATGTCACAGCTAGAGTGGAGGAAACCTTGAAATTTGCATTCATATTTTTTTAAACTGCCATAATTCCCAAACCCTACATTCCTGAGACATATTTCATGACAAACGTAGGAAAACATCTCGTAGCTTGAAAAATGACAAATAATTAAGCAAAAATAATTACACAAAATGCCTCTTGAGGGCACGAAGTGACAAAAACTTTCAACATGCCTCCATTAAAGCCCATTGTAATTTCAGGCTAATATTTCCTCACGGTAGCAGCCGCACACCTTTAGTTAAACTGCCAAAAAGGCCACATTATTAACCCGAAAGTACACAAAAATTACAGTTCAGATACTCAACTTCCTTGACATGCTTCACGTTTTGAAATTTCATAGATATCTGTTACGGTTCTTCGACAAAACGTTCACATGTAAGAGGTTTATCTCTCATTCAGAACAATGGAAACCTTTGATCTCTGCACACCTCTTTAGCTCAAATATAAACACCTGTGTCATGGAACACGATGATGTCATAACACACAGGTGTTCGTGTTTGAGCTAACGACGTGGTCACTGGAGTTTAACAGACTGTCTGAGCCTATTCTTTTCTGTCTGATGGAGACTTCATACTGACTTCAACATGTTCCACCTATTTTATACATTATTGGTGACACACAGCTGTCGTCGTTAGCTCAAATATAAACACCTGTGTCATGGAACACGATGATGTCATAACTCCAACTGACATGCTCAGAGCAGCAGACTTCAGATAATGTTTAATGGTCCTGCCCTCAACAGCTCTACGTCAATTATGGGGTGTCATCATATGCCGTTTCCATGGAAACGCATCCCTCGTCATAAAAGACGATGTCGCTTTACATTAACTCCTATGAAAATGTTCAAAAAGTGCTCAAACTTCACATGTGTGCTAACAGTCCAGCCGTGAAAAAAATCTACAGGACGGTTTTGAGATTTCTTCAAATGCCGTTGCCATGGCAACACAATGCTCGCCATGAAACACGGTTTTCTCATAACTTCAGTGAAAATGCTCCAAACGGCCCAAAACTTCACAGGTTTGGTAACGATGCAGCCATCCACACATCTAAGTGTATTATGGGGTGTCATCAAATGCCGTTGCCATGGCGACAGATCACTCGCCATGAAACACGATGTCGCTGTAAGTCCAATGGACACGGTCTGATCGTCCCCCAATCTTCACTTGTATATCACCGGTCCATGCCTCAACAGCTCTACGCCAAATCTGAGATCTCACCATATGCCGTTTCCATGGAAACACATCCCTCGCCATAAAAGATGATGTGGCTATAACTCCTATGAAAATGTTCAAAAAGTGCTCAAACTTCACATGTGTGCTAACAGTCCAGCCGTGAAGACATCTACGGGACAGTTTTGAGATTTCTTCAAATGCCGTTGCCATGGCAACACAATGCTCACCATGAAACACGGTTTTCTCATAACTCCAGTGAAAATGCTCCAAACGGCCCAAAACTTCACAGGTTTGGTAACGATGCAGCCATCAACATATCTAAGCGTATTATGGGATGTCATCAAATGCCGTTGGCATGGCGACAGATCATTCACCATCAAGTTAGTTCAAAAGTTTGCAGTTCAAATATTCTGCTGCTTTTCCAAGCCTTTTTACTTTCTTTTCTTCTCTCATCACACATTCAAGCCCCCAGTGTTCATGTATCATTTCAATCTAAATTCTTCACTTTCTTCTTACACATTACATTTCAGCATAGCAGTTTAGTGTCAGATTTTCAGCACATTCCCACTAGCAATTTCTTCAGGAATTGCATTCTCTAGTTGTTTCTGATGTTCAAGGTTTCATCAGTCTTTAGTAATAACATAAACTGATACAAAAATATATAGGATCTAATGTTTAATATTTCTAGACTTCATATATTCCAATTGCCCAGCTTAGTCCCCCTTACTGATGCTACATTTCCATTCTCCTCTCCAATAATAACAGCAACAGATTGACATAGTTACTTATTATTAAATCCTTTCTTAAATATCAGCCCTTGATTATAAACGTAGGTAGACGCATTTTTAGAAAGTGATGAAAACTGTTGCTAGATGGATTTACTCAATGTGGCTAGTTATTTAATTCAGATAACACTGGCTAAAATATAGAATGTGGCTGTCTTGTTAATTCTTCAAACAAGAATCTAGGCTGAAGTTAAAACTATTATAAGATTGATGGGGTAAAAGGTTCTTATTTCATCTTCGCTTACAAGCGCAGACACAGAAGAGTTAAGATGAATGCCTAATGCTTTGTATTCTGTGTATTCAAGTTGGCAAAAAGAGCTTTTATGGAAAGCACTAATCCAAAGAAATTGTCTTCTTAAAAGTTTGGTTAGAGTTACTAGTCCTACTGTTAGTGTAGTCTAAAGTGTAAACTAGATAAAAACTATTGGAGCAGAATAGAGCCGCTAATGTTATCTTTCACTTGGAATACTTTAAGGTCAACGAAATAGTGAAGAATCAATCCCCATCCTCAAAGTCATGTTCATGTTGAAACAACATTTAGTAAGATATACTGGGGGGGAAAATGGAAAAAATAAACTACAACCGTTGTGAGGGGGGTTATGAGTTAATACGGTTGAATAAACCTCTTTTTAGGACAGTGGGGACTTGTAATGACTCATTGATAGACATCTTCCTGAGTCTCGTGTTAGCTTTGTTGCACCTTTTAGGGCGGGACTAAGTAAACCTTACACATTCTCATTAGAAGATTAATTTACCTGATACATTTCCATCAAAGCTCCTCTTAAAGTATTCCATAAAATCCTAGTAAAAACTACATTATTTCCTGGAACTTTAACTGAATCTTTGGTTTCTTTTTCTTTTTCCCTCCCTTATTTCTTAACAAACATTTAAAGTAATGTGTAGTATATGATGAATGCTAATTGTTATTGTAAAATGAAAAATTAATTATTCCTACAGAGGATCAAATGAGACATGAATCATCAAGAAACTCCCATATTGCACTGTAGTCTCAACTAATTTCATCAACTTGGAAACGTTTTAACATAAAAAGATGTGTACCACATAATAATTCAGAGTTGGTAAACAAGGACTGGCAATCTGCTAAAGTTTCTGTGTCACTGGTGTCCACTTCAGCCCTTGATGCTGGGTTTCATGTCCTGCGAATGTGATACTGACTATACTTTAATGACCGAGGAACAGTTCCAGATACTGGTTGCCGCTGGCTTTTAAGACGCATTTTCATTTGTCGACCTCTTGACTATTGCCAGTTGGAAGTCTGTTTATGCAGATTTTTATTTTATTTTTTAATTCGGTTTTAGTTGTGTAGGTAGAGTCTGAACTCTCAAACTGTGTTCTGGTTTTGTTTGTTTAGCACAAGTTGGAAAATGTAAGATTTTGAAAGAGTCAATAATATTTGGTCGTTGTTTAACCTATACAGTGTGTGTCTACTCTGTGTCCCTGAAATAAAGCAGCCCTGTCAGGACCGACCAATACTAATACAATCTTCCCTCTTGTCATAGAAGTCCAGAGCCAATCACATCCACTTCCCCCGTCCACAAATCCAGTCACATCCTCTGACCCGGGCACAAGGAGCAAGAACACATTACTGCCGCCATCGAGTAATCGGATTTGCTTCTTGCTCATAATAGAGCAATTTCCCGTAAAACAATTTAGTGAATTCACAAAGTCTGTAACATTATCCATCATTTATTGTGTATATATGTCCTGTCTTCCAGGAACAACGCCTAATTTTTAGAAGATGAATATCATGAAGCAAATAATCATAACAAATGATTATTCTTTCGAAGCTGCCAGCTGTCTTTAAAGGAAATAGAAATGTTCCAAGAGTTGCTAATAAATATATTACTAACCGTGTATGGAACAATTAGGCCTTTTCTGAAGTCTGAAATACACATTGCATGAAGTTAACGGTTCTAAGACCATAATTGTGTCAAATAGATGCAATGACTGTTATCCTAATTATAATTTAATTAAATTTGTTGCAAAAGCGACATTACAGACAGAGGAACAGACTCACCATAGGTCGGCGGTTTTCAACCAGGTGAATGCCAACAATGCCCAAAAACGCTCCAAAACTCAGCTGGAGACACAAAGAGAGAGGGACATGTACATGATTAAAAAGACAACGCAGCCCCTAACATAAAGCAACAAACTTAAGATGACATTATCTGTTCATTTAGAAATATCACATTTGAGACATGAATGGCATTTCGTGTGTGTGTGTGTGTGTGTGTGTGTGTGTGTGTGTGTGTGTGTGTGTGTGTGTGTGTGTGTGTGTGTGTGTGTGTGTGTGTGTGTGTGTGTTTAGGTTGATGTCACTCATTCATTTTTTTGTTATGATTGTAATGTTTTGTTATTGTTTTTATAAGGAAGGGTCTAGGAAAGTAAGGTAGGGGGAGGGGGAGCGAGGTTTGTTCTTGTCATTTGAAAAACAATAAACAATGTTTACAGAAAGGACAGCACATCGTCTCCAAATCATGCTGTTTTCATTGAGATATGAGATATTGTGAAGTTGAAGAGACTCACGGTGATGCCGGAGTAATATCCAGCCACAGGCACGTTGTCGGTGCGCGTGGCAGAGACCAGACCCACTGTCAGCACCACCAGAGCCAGAGCCAGCAGAGACACCGTCACCCAGAGCGCCGTCTTCCTCCGACGCAGGTAGTGGACTGGGGATGGACCACAGGAGGACATCTTTACTCTTATTAGATACAGATGACCTCTCTAAATTACATGCCTTTCTCAACCTAATTCTGATCATAACATGCAAACCTCCTTTTGCCCAAGACAACATGCACATATTGAAGTGATCTTTTTCAGGTCTTTGTTCAAAATCTTATTTAAGTCATTTTCTTAAAATATATACTCATAGGGTCAGAAGTAAAAGTACTCGTAGCTGGCTGTGTTGAAGCTGTTTTATATGCTATTGTGTGGTCTGAATCACATCATATTTAATGTTCTTATTATTGTTGTTTTTTTAAGCACCCACCAATAATCTATTATATGTGCAGGAACTATGTGGTCATCAGTGGTAGAAATACTTAACAAAAAACAACAACATGGGTTACATATATTCAATTTTCTCCATCTGTACTCTATTAAATGTAAAAGTCCTGAATTCAAAATGGTACAAAAGTAGGCCATTATTAGCTAAGTATATACTTAAACTATTAAAGGTAAAAGTAAAGATTATGCAGAATGGTTCCTTTCAGAGTTTATTATTGTTATATCATGTGAAATATAACATGTCAGAGCATCATAATGTTGTATTCTGTCAACATGGAAACAATTTGAGATACTATGTTTACTACAGAAAAGCATTAATACTGCACCATTTACTATATTACAAATAGAATGTAAAAAGAAAGAAGCAACAATGATTGTCAAATAATTGAACACAACTAATGAGCCAATTAAATGTATTCAAGGCCTGTTTCATTGTTTTCTAGACATATAGCAAACATATGCCTTGTATAACAGAACATAAATAGTGTGACACAAGATGAAACTGTAACTGAGGTTCAGGTTAGAAGATTAAACCCGACATGTTTGTACCTGCTGGATCCGGTATTTCTGTTGTCTGCTGAGCTGTCTGCGGGGGTTCAGGTTGCTGCATTTTGACTTAATCCTGATGAAGTGTCCGGAAAAATGAATAAAAATAAGAGACAGCTGAGGAGACCCTCTGAGTGTTTTTCTCAAGGTGGGGTCTTTGTTGAATCAAAACAGATTCCTCACCCTGCAAAAAAAGTCTATTTTTCTTATAATTTAAACATCTGTATGATAAACAGGTACAACTTCATATAAATGTTTACAGCTGACTCTGAGCGCAGGCGAGTTCAACTTTTCCTGATGCATGAGAGAGAGACAGAGAGAGAGACAGAGAAAGACAGAGAGAGAGGGGGGAGCAAGAGGGAGAGAGGGGGAGAGAGAGAGGGACCAATCAGCTTCCTGTATTCACCTTATTGATACATTATTAAATTATCTGTCTTACATAAGTATAATGCAGCTTTAATACAGGATCCAGTGAATGTGGCTGTACTATACTATTTATACTGTATATTATAACAATAAAAAGAGTGGTTAAAGTGAGTTTTTAATGTGTTTAATGTCTACAGGCTGTAAGGTGACTGGTCATGATGCTGCAGGGTTGATGGTATTTGAGTGTACAGCGCCCTCCATTGGTAGAAACTGGAAGATACAAACCTTGTAAACACTAATCCTTTAATTCAGTGTATTTTATATAAATAACAAATATCCACTCTACCTCTACAAAACTGGTGTCTTTAATGGCTTGAATCAAGTTGAATAAATAAGAATGCTTGCATTTGTTGAATGACACAACTAACTTGACTATAAGCTATAAAACAAGTTTCAATGTTTCACTGAGAATCTTAAAAACCTGTCAGTATATTTACCTTTTCTCCTCGGGTTATGAATGGTCCTTTAGCAGCCATGAACTTTGATTGACCCTCAAAGTGGAGTAATCTACAGAGTATTCTGAGCAGAAATCATACTCTCCTCTCAGCAGCTCAGAAGCTGGTGAGATAAAGAGGTCTCAGACCCTCAGTTTCAGTACTTTTTAGACAAAAAGATGTACATTTTTTATGTAAACAGCTAAATAGCTCTAAAATGAATCTAAACTAATAATGACTTCTTAAAACTACTGATCTATTCAAATGAAAATGCTGGGATAAAAACATTACGGCTATATTACAGCTGCTACGGCTTAAATCTACATAATACTATAAGTAAAAGCTATTTAGGGAACATAATATATTCTAGTGGTTTCTGCAATTTACTTATATATTTTTTCATAGCAACTCTAAATACTACAACATGTATTGGTATTCAATTACGTATCTGTAACAAGTTGATGCACCTGAAACCACAGCATTAAGGTACCCCAATAGCCAATCAATATAGAAAAAAAATATATATATATGGAGTGCCCTTTTACAAAATAACTAGATATGTATATGTTTATACTATAAATGAATGCTGATGTATTTTATGTATATGTGCTATATTAAAACATTGAGCTCTTTTGTGTAAAATGGCTGCATAGTTCCAGTCAGTTACCTGGCACTGGTTGGGTAATGGCACCCGTACAGTGAGGGTTAATGTCATATATTAATTACTGAATACATTAGGTGTGTGTGTGTCTCATCACAGGTCTGTGAGAGCAACTATGACCAGTTTGCTGGGTTTTGCGTGGTCTGTACCTGGAGTCCCAACGTAACTCTTGATTTTAAACTGATAATGGCCCAAGCTCCACAGCCAGTCCAAGGTCAGAGAAACGAACGTTACCTGTGAGAACAAACACACACGAGAGTAATGTCAAGAGCTGTGCACGTCACAGATACCAATGTTGACCTGCGGCACTACGTCTCTGAGTCGTAAACCTGTGGAGCCGTGATAACTGAGAGACGTCCTTGTGTTAAGAGCAAAGACTCAGGCTCAGTGTGTATTGCATGTGTGAAGGGTGTGGGGTTAAGGCGGTTCATGTGTGTGTTTTGACCTCAGAAGGCCAAGAATGGGACATCATTTTAAAGAAAAGGGTAGGGACTTTAATTTGCCAGTCGTCTAATGTACATTAGCAGAAATAGAGCCAAACTGGCTGCATTTAAAACACGGTAACTTTGGGGAGTTTTGGATTTGATGCGGTGCAGGTTGGCCACCTTTATTTCTAGATATTTCTTGCCATAATTCCCTTTTCCCTATAAACGAAAAGCCCAAAAAATTCCTCTCCCACGGGCTGTGTCTTAATTCACTTCCACTGCAAAAACCTTTTCAGACACACACCCATCCAGTAAGAAAAAAGTGTCATGCATCTACTTAAAAAAGTCCATCACATTGTTCATGGTCTCACTGAAAGTATCCTCCCCGGCCTCTTGGTCTTTCTCTTTAACCCTCCACTAGAACAATTATTTTCATGTGTAACATTGTGACACACAATACACATTTCTAACTCAAATCAAATATTTTGTTTTTCGGCAGTTTCTCGCCTCTGGGAACATTTTTGTTGAGAAATGTTAAATAGATTATCTGTGAAACACAGCAGCTCTTCCCTTAATATGTCTCCTTTTTTACTTTGTACAGAATCAGTCAGATCAGCGCAGATTTTTGTTCATGTGTGTCAATCATTTGAAATATTAGCAGATCAAATGCAAGCGTCACCTTGGTTTTTTGTCTTTATTACCAGCTGTCTGGGTGTTCAAGGTGATCCTTGGGTTCCTCTGAGGAGTGAATGACGTCGTGCTGAAGGAGGAACTTCACCTGTTTCTTCGTTGGCCCGCCTCAGCCTCCCTACAGGAAGTAGGCCCACCTTTTCATCGGCCTTATAAATAGTGAATAAGAGATAACTCATTCATCACACTCTGGAGCAGCGACCAGGGAGTGAGTTTTAGCTGAAGCTACTGTAAAAGAGAAAGAGACAAGGGACAATACAAGACATTAGCACATAGTTGCCTTAAAATCTTTGGGGAGGGACAGGTAGGAGAGAGGAGAAACACATATTACTGTAAGTGAGAGGAGAAAGAAGTGTGAAGGAAAGGAGAGGTCTGCTGTGGATCCTGGTCAGCACAGAGCTTCATCATGGCCGCCTTGAAGGAGAAGAGGACTTGTGGGCAACGATGTGAAGACTTTGGCCATTTTGTCTGGAACTCAGATGAAGGGAAGTTAATGGGCAGAACACCAGAGAAATGGGGTAATTATAACATTGTTATCCTTTTTTGTGCAACATTAAATAAACCTTAAAAATAAACCGTAAGTGGCTGAAACACCATTAATATAACAGCACAATGGCTCAGTATTACACACAAGGCAGGGCAGTATCATTTATAACGCTGTAGTTTCACCACTGACAATAAGTGTCATTCACACATTAACAGTCTACTTGTCTCTTTGCCATATTTGTATCATTTTTAATAGCTGGTGACCAATGTCTCCAAACATTTAGGCAATCATCTTTCTCAACAACAATGACTGAAAAATACTTTACTAGTACTTTTTTGCTAGATATTACTTTAAACACAAGAAGGTCATTCAAGTTGAAGACAATGTCAAAATTAATCAAATATTGTTAACTGCTATAATTAGTTATTTATGTCATATGTATCACAGTTACAGCGGCAATGACGTTTTTACATTTCAAGCTCAGCTGAAATGTTGTAATACAATAATATTTAAAAAATATGATATAATAATACTGTGTAAATATATATGGTATTGTTTTATCCATCTTGGAAAACTGCAAATATAGTTTAGCGTAAGATAATAAGGCTTATGTTTAACAGTCTTATTAGGCAATTAAAGCAGCTTTTTACCAAAGTTATTTATCTTTTCAGTACAAAATTAACTTTTCATATTAGGAAGGGATATCTTCATGGCCAGTATGGAAAGGAAGGATTACTGAAACCCATTTCTATGTGCATATAGTATGGGCAGTGGAGGAGCACATAGCAATACTACAGCTTTTTGAAATGCTAGCAAAGTAAATAATCTTGAGTTTATGAAGATATTGAGTTTATGTGTAATGGGTTCCACAGTTAAAGAGCGACACACATCATACTTGTGTGTACAGTTCAGTTTGACATTTTCTGTCCTTCCAATATCACCACAGTGAGGTGTATGTTTGCAGCATGTGGGCACAGTGAGATAAGCAGCTGTGGTGATAAGCTTTATTTCTTTCTTTTGTCAGAGTCCTTCCCCCCTGTGTTTGAATTCACATTCAGATTAAAGTGCTCATATATACTGTAGACAGAGGACACCTTGACTTCTGCCAATTGAACCTGATCTGTGTCACAAGTGTTATCACATTTAACTAGTGTATACTGTCAATACAAGGATTTCACCTTTATCTTAATGTACACACTGAATAACAATCAGAAAAGGCCTATGAAATTGGAGATTTTACAAAATATAAAGGGTTATGGACAAAAAGAGACGCAATGCTGCCATGACCATATAACTCTCATCATGCCTCGTAGACACAGCACGTTGCATATGTTGTACATATTTATATTGTTGTGTTTTTTGACTCTGCAGTACTTGCTATTGTCATTTATTTCTCTTACTATATTTGTTGATATGCTCCAAAACAATGGGTCAAATTCTCTTTTAACCACCATTTTTAAATCCCTCTGTCCTCCACAGTGTACATCAGTCTCTATTATGTGGCCTTCTACGCGGTGATGACCTCCCTTTTCAGCCTCGCCATCTGGACGCTCATGTACACCTTGGATCCGTACACGCCGGACTACCAAGACCGACTAACATCTCCGGGTAACACATAATCAATAAGGAGTTAGACAACGACTTAAATGAAACTTTAAATAACGAGCTCTCTGTTTGTTTCTCTGTTCAGGGGTGATGGTGTGGCCGGACACTTATGAAGAGGAAGTTATTGAAATCACCTACAACACGTCAGACAAAGCCAGCTGGATGAAGATGACCAAAATCCTCAATGAGTTCCTGGAGCGTTAGTATTAACTCTGTTGAAGCTTTTATACAGATACTAACATATTTATAACACAAACAAGACATCTTAATCTTTCTCTCTGTCTTTCTCTTTCAGCCTACAATGACACCAAGCAGCTTGAGTGTAACAACTATAACTGCACAAAGGGAAAGTACTTCCTCCAGAAACACTTCCTCGGACCTCACCACACCAAGTACTCATGTCCCTTCCTGCAAAGCATGCTGGGACCCTGCTCAGGATTTGAGGACCCAACCTTTGGCTACAACTGCTCCATGCCTTGTGTCATCATTAAGATGAACAGAGTACGTTTAATGCATTCAACCTTTTCTGAGCCCTTTTGGGAAAACCTGAATCTCGCAGTACATTAAAAACAAGCTCGTTTAATGAAAATGACTAAAGGTACAAATGTTTGTCTCCGCAGATCATCAACTATTTGCCTACTAATCGCACAGACGTTGCCCCTTATGTAAACTGCACTGTACTGGTGAGCAACAACTCCATATACTGATTTTGACAGCACGCATTAAAGAAAATTAGTCATAGGTTTTACGTTTCATTTTCAGAGGTACTCCAGTGATTAAGGCCCAATCCCAAACCGCCCCCTACACCCTACCCCTACACACTACCCCTCCTCCGCGCGTTTGCGCGTTCGTGCGGAGGGTCCGCCACATTAAGTGCTGTTCCAAACCAACGAGTGTGGAGCGGTGTGGAGGGTGAGTGGGCTATCAAGCCATCAAACAGCGAGTCTGTATTGGTGTGGACTGGAGACTGGTCTCTACCTGACCGGTCTCAACGCTGTGTGTCTCCGGCCCAATCCCAAACCACGCCCTACACCCTACCCAGTGGCGTAACAAGGTTGTGATTGGCCCCGGTGCAAATATTGTTTTGGGTTTGGAACAGCACTTAATGTGGCGGACCCTCCGTACGAACGCGCAAACGGAGGGGTAGTGTGTAGGGGTAGGGTGTAGGGCGTGGTTTGGGATTGGGCCTCCGTCAGGAAACGCGCTGTTTACAAGTAGTTCCAGCAAACATCCACTGATAAATTGCGACGTTAACAACCTCATGATAACCTCATATTTTTTTAATTTAGGATCATACCTGTGTTTAGTCTAGAAAAAGGTAAATGTGTTATAAAGTTGTGTATATTTACAGACTGTTGCAAAAACTAAGAAGCTTATAAAAATCAGGTTTAAAACTAAAAGAGAACACAATTAAAGATGTTTGGAGTTTTATTTTAGTTATTCATTTTAATTTTTTGTCTAAGAGATGCTGATTTGAAACCGTTGTTACAGTTACGGCATTTCCTGTTTCTGCCGGAGAGAGGGGAGTTTGTCCCAAAGCTTGCCGCTGTATTTACTCCCTCCATCTGACAGGAGGGAGCCTCATTCACTCCGTCACGGAGGGGGAGTGTGTAGGGGTAGGGTGTAGGGCATGGTTTGAGATTGGGCCTTAGTATTGCACTTCCATAAAGTTGGAGGGCTTCCTGAGAGACAAATTAAAGATCATAATCAATGCAGCAGAGGCACAGATATGCTGACTTTTATGTCCAAGTGTGAGCCAAGCCATAAAAACACTTGATACTACATTTCCCATAATGCATTTCTGTTCATATAAACCTTCAAGTTTGGTTTTCTTTTTTTTCAGTTTGTAACAGACCTTCCCTTATATTTTAGTCTCGGTGCTAAGGGTTATTTTCTCATATGACAAAGCTCCTCCAGGGTCACATGAGACATTATACAACAGTGTGCCCAGGCTGAGTAGTAGTCCTCTGGTGATGCCCCATTAAATATGACTACATCTGTGTCTGTGTGTTTAGGAAGGGGAAGGAAATGTGGCCAAAATTGAGTATTTCCCTGAAAAGGGAAATATGGATCCCTCTTACTTCCCTTACTACGGGAGGCTGGCACAGGTAAATCCACATCTGAATATTGAAATAACATTTGTTTTCTCTCTTTAAAGGTTTTAGGCAACAGTTTCACACTCATGTGTCAAAAGTAAATGTTTCAACTGTTGTAGAGGGGCCACGATGGAGAAAAAATCACTAAATTAGTAGGCTATTTGCAGAGTTAGCTTAGTTTAGCACAAAGACTGAAACAGGGGAAATAGATAGCCTGAAACGACTTCCCAAAATAACACAAACTGTTGTCATAACACTTCTTGTACAGAATAAATTAACAATCTGGCATTACAATTTGTTATTTAAAGATTATTTTAGGGAATTTTGTTGTTTCCCTTTTTCCTTTCTTTATGCTAACTAGATTATAGAAGTAGCTGGTTGTTTTGATTATCTCATCTGTAAATGTAATCTGTAAATGTCCTTAAAAAATTGAAACAAAAAAACTTAACTCAAGCACTTGAGCATGAATGGTAAGCATTGTCTCTTTCTCCTTTCCTTCAGCCTTCTTACGTCAACCCGTTGGTGGCTGTTCGGTTCAGCCTGGTCGGAGGGAAGTACGCTAAGATCCAGTGCAGAGTGGTCTCAGAAAAGATCAGCTACGAAAACTACCACGACCCCTACGAGGGAAAAGTCATCTTCCACCTCAAAGCATTAAAATGAGAAACAGTAGAGAAGATATAGAGAAATCAGTAACAACAACTAACCTTTAAGTATCAGAGATAGAGCAGCTGACTACAGATAAACTATTATTTAACGACCTTTGAACCACTTTATTCTTTTAGACACAAGAGGTTGCAGTGAAACTATTGTAATGTGCAGCTGTATCTTGCATAAACAACACGTTCAATAATAATCAAGCACCGGAAATATCCTTTTTTTAACACACTTTAAACTCCTTGTATTGAACATAGTGTAGGCCCATTGTTACATTTCTGTGGTGCTTTTATGAACATGATTGTCATGCTTTGCTGAGTGATTCATGACACTCTTTGTCTTATGATTTTACATGAAATAAAAATAAAATCTTCATATTGTCATGTAACCTGATTAAGGTTTACCAATTTAACCATCTGTCTGCTCGTCCACCTAAGTATTATACCACAGTTGACATCACCAAATCCAAAGTTACCAGTTATAAAGTTGTTAAATAAATAAACCTCCAAAAAAGGGTGTTGAGATTATCTTTGGGATTCAAAACTCTAAAAAAGTCTACATTACAACCATGACTCATGAGAACAAATTGTTTTTATTTTGAAGGGGTCACAAGCCAAACAAGTTGTGAAATACTGGATTAAAAGACTCATAGTGACATTTATTTATATGGAGTCATTAAGTCTAGCTTTCTACTAGATGTGTTTCCTGCACTATTTATTAATGTCACTAATGCAATTAACATTGTCTTGACTTTGACAGTTGCCATATTTTTAAATGCTGCAAAGTAAACGTTTACCACTATAAAATGTCATAAATGAAAGAAAAAAATGAAGGCACGAAGAGCCTGACGTGGAGTTAAGAGGGGGAGGTCATGTATGTGAGTATTGGCGGCAGAGTAAGGAGGTAACAGAGAGATTTAGAATATTACAGCTTTATGGTCGGACCGAGGGAAGTCTAGAAATTCCAGAGATGCCTCAGATCACTGACTAACTGGATGGAGTTAAAAACTTCAATCAAAGCAATGCAAATCAAAAGGTAAGGAAACATGGGCATTAAGATCATCAGCAAATAAAAAATTCCTTCATATCAAGGTATAATACGATATTCAAGTTCAGACAATAATCAGGATTTAAAAATGTTCTTCAGAGAAAGTAATGCAATCTGAGAACAGAGTGAATACAGACTCAAATCAATAAAATAATTATGTATCTTCTTGTTTTTAATAAATACATTATCATTGTTAGTTATGACCAACAACACAGGAATGAAAACTCAATCCACTACACAGGAAAAGAGAAAAATACCCCTCTGTTTTGACAAAGGAAAATGTGAAACATATAACAAAATATAACATGTATATAGCTCATACTGTACATACACTTACACATTGCACATTATGAAAGATAAGACACAGACACTTACAGCAGAGCAGGCACACACGTTTAACATTCAATGGTAACCAGTGCAAGATTTTCCTTTTAATGCAACATCAGTAAAAAAATACTGATGAGCATGTTCTTGTGATCCCCTCTCTAATAATTAATTATCTCCATTTGTTACTTTGAACTAATGTACCGGTTTACATAGATTTGATCAGAATGAAGAGCCTAAAAGAAGAACGAATAAAGCCTGTTATAGTCTTTGTAAAATGAATTGATGTAGTTTTTAGGTAACACTAAAGAGTTTCCTCAGAGCTAAATTCACAGTATTACAATGATTACATTAAATAAACTACGACTATTAAATACAGCAGATACACTTCAGTAAGGATTGAAGCTTACATTTGAATCACCTAAAAGTCAGAAAAGTTACTTCAGATGGTCTTATGTAAAAATACATTGAGGCAAAATAAATTATACAAAAAGTTTTCCCCATTTAAAGGGGACCTATCATGCAAAATGCACTTTTTGATGTCTTTTATACATAAATATGTGTCCCCGGTGTGTAAAACCCTCTCTCTTTTCCTCCGTACCCAAATCTCTAAAAACGGGGCGACAACGGAGCTGGTCCAGATTTGCGTCCGATATGACGTAATATCGGAAATGTAGGCTGGCTTTACACCCACGGCCTTATCAGAAACAATGCCCGACTGTTTTTACTGTGTTTACATTAGCATCGCTAACACTCAGAGCTAACCTGTACTGCACAGAGCATGTGTGTGAAGAAGCAGGAAATAAAAAGGAACTCACCTTGTGGTATAACCGGCAAGAGAGAAAGCCTTTGAGCTCCATACTGTTTCAGAAATAATCCTTGATAATCCATGATATGGCATTTCATCACCGCAGTATCTGCCGGTAGAATCTCCCGCATGAGCTCAGCCCCCTCCTTTTTTTTTTTTTTTAAATCACTTTTTTTTTTTAAAGCTTTATACCCAAAATCAGCACTTTTGAAACAGGAAGTGAAATAAAGGGATATGAGGCATGGCTAGAATGGTTGATCTGTTTGGTATTTTGAGCAAAACACTTCATAGACATGTTTTTTATATATTTTTATATATCTGAGACCTGAAAATTTGCCTAAAAATGGCCTAAAAATAGCATGATAGGTGCACTTTAAGTAATCCGACCATTTCTCTCATTCATGTAAAAAGAGCCAACATATAGAGTTCAGATTTTGTTCCATAGATTGTTGCAAGGAATTAGAAAAACTTGAAGTTGAACGTGCAATAACAACTGAGGAGGATGTAGTTCAGTTGAATTTCTATCATCGGGACAGTAGAGAGGGAAAGTTTCTGTATGTTCTTCATAATGCAGGAGAAAGTGCATTAAAACCTTCGGAACACTAGGAAGGATATCGAGGACTTGTGCTTCTTCATTGAACTGATCCTATTGACGGTTATTTAAAGTCACAGATGATGTTGTGCTTTTACGAAGAGTGGACGACATCAGAGGCGTTTACATTTCATAGATTTGTTGGGAAATCATTTTGGCCTGTGCTATGAAAAAAGCCATTCAACAGTATAAGGATTAGATGGTCCAGGTTTAATGTTTGTGGTAGGAAGGAATCAGTGTCTTTTAAATGAAAAAGAAGTAGTTTTGGTCCAACCTTTCTGAAAGGCCAAATAAGACTTAGCTTCTGCTCCTCAGAGTTACACAGGGACGTGTTTTTCCAGAAGCTCATGTGGTCATGTGATTGTTTTTCGTTCGACCCGGGGAACCCATTTATGTGTGGTGACCTTCCACAGCACCGGGGCCAGCAGCAGACTGAGGGTGGTGACGCTGAGAACCAGCAGGTACACCTGAGCAGAGACACGGAAAAAAACGGAGAGTGAGATAATTTAATATTTTATTCAATCTTACTTTTAATAGAATATAATCATGAATGTTAGAGTTAATTCAGTGTTTCCCCCCACAGAGTGAATAGCTGTTGTTTTTAAAAGACAAAAGAGGAACATTTGAATGGTTGATTTTCTTATATAACATGTGGTATATGTGGCACGTAGACCGCTGTGGTTTGATTAACCCTCATTTTGAGATACAAGTCTCAGAGATTTCTGTGTCCTCTCCATTATGAAATATATTTGAGCAGCTCAGCGTTTAACAGATTAGAAACCTCAGTGGACGTATCTAAAAATCCGGATACATAAAACAAAACTTCCTCTAGATAAAAAATATTACTGTACCAATTGTGATGTAATCAGATAATTGCTACAGATGTTTCATTAAGCAAACATTTAAAATATCATTTTGTTTGAGCATTTTAAATGTCAAAATTATTTTTCTGAGTATTTGAAAATAACATTTTGGGATTTTATAAATGTATAGAAATAATTCAAAAGACTATTCAGTAAAGAAAACAATTGTTATTTGTTTTTCAAATGTTGTGTATTTATAAAAGACCTTACAAAGTGCTTCATAGACATCGGCAAATAAAAAAATCACAATAATTAAATATCACTGACCTCTCTGGAGATGATGCCAGCGCGGCGCGCACGGCTGCCCAGGACGAAGGAGAACTCGCTGACCTGAGCCAGGCCGGCTGATACGATCCAACGAATGTGTCGAGAGCCTGGAGGAAGGATGACCGACAGCACTAGGACGGCCATCATGAACTGGGAGGAACATGATGAGAGGAGTCAGTGGAAAGAAGGAGGACTGAGAGTGCGGCAAAGAATAACCAGAGAAGAAAATGACAAACAGAAAGAAAAGTTCTGTACCTTCATAATGACGAGTGTGAAAGTTAACACCAGCAGGATGGTGAGTTCATACAGCACAAATGTCGGGAACACGTGGAGACCTGCGGAAAAACACAAGCGATGATACAGTCAAAGTCTGACTAATAAGTGTACCATGGTAATAAAGCTGGGATCTGTCTTAAACGGACCGATGGAGGCGAAGAAGATGATGGCGAGGAAATCTCTGATGGGCTCGATGCATCCCATGACCTCCGTGGTGACCATGTGACCCTGTGTGGACAGCAGAGCTCCAGCCAGGAAACAGCCCAGCTCCATAGAAACATCTAAAAACTCTGTCACCTACCGTATCAAACAGCGAGAGAAAAATCAACACAAACAATATCTTCGTAAAAAGTTCAATAATGCTGTGGTGTAAGAGGAATATTAAACATTTGTAGAGAAATGCAGGGCAAATAATAATACATATATAAAACGTACCGTCAGCATGAAAAAGACAAAAGCTGCCATCCCCAACACGAGGATCTCCTTGTTGCCTTTGCTCTCAGCATGCAGTTTCTTGTAAAAGGGGGCAATCAGGAAGGATTTGAGTAACAAACACAGCAGCAGCACAGCGGCCAGAGACACCAGGATCTGGGCCAGGAGGTAAAACACACGCAGACTCCCCAACAGGAAGCTGTGTTTCACAAAAGAGACAGCATGTTTAAGTAAGCGGTGTGTGCTTCTTGTTGAGGAGAGGACGCATGCAGAAAAAAAGAAATGAAAAAACGGACCTTTCCACGTCTCCACTCTGTGCCTGGATCAGCGTTGGCATGGCGGCGATGAAGAGGCCGAGCTGAACATCTTGCATCACTAACATCCCGAGGAGAACGCT